GCAGGTCCAAGGAAAGGGAGGGGTGGGGGTCAGCCAGTCAGTAGGGCAGTTGCAACACATATTTATCGATTCGGTTCACTGTTTTATATGGGTATGATTCATGGTGCCGCAAAACAATGAAAATAATGAAAAGATCACTGATCATAGATCACCATGACAGATATAATAATAATGAGAAAGTGTGAAATTTTGCAAAAATTACCAAAATGTGACCCAAAGACATGAAGTGAGCACACTCTGCTGGAAAAATGGTGCCGATGGCCTTGCTTGACACAGGGTTGCCACAAACTTTCCATGCTTAAAAATCGCACTATTTGGGAAGTACAATTAAGCAAAGCACTGGCCGGATGCAATGGCTCACACCTGTAATCCCAGCACTTTGGGAGGCTGAGGCGAGTAGATCACAAGGTCAGGAGTTCAAGACCAGCCTGGCCAATATGGTGAAACCCCGTTTCTACTAAAAATTAGCCAGGCGTGGTGGCACGTGCCTGTAGTCCCAGCTACTCGGGAGGCTGAGGCGGAAGAATTGCTTGAACCCAGGAGGTGGAGGTTGCAGAGCCAAGATCATGCCACTGTATTCCAGCCTGGGCAACAGAGCAAGACTCTGTCTCAAAAAAAGCAAAGCACCATCAAACAAGGTCCATCTGTATATCTCTCAGAAAATAAGCTCACATGCTTGGAAACCTATCAGAACCAGACAAGCGGTGTTAGGAACACAGCCGCAAATACTCGGCCTGTATCTAGCCTTAGCAAGAAACATCCTGGAAGAACTAAGGGGATTTAACACCCATGCAGATTACTTTCTAGATAGGCCTGAGAAATCCATCCCAGCTGACTCAGCAAAGAGATACCTACAGACCTCCCTCATCTGCTAATCAAAACCCTATATTGGCTGCAGGGCACTGTCGCGGTATGCCTGGCTTCTTCTTGGCTGGGCAGGCCTCATAAAGGTGCCCTGCAAGTTCTCTGCACTCATTGGCATGGAGAAAACCAGGCTTTGGTAAAGACAGGCAGTCAGAGGCATCTCTAGCCCTTCTAGGACCCAAACCATTCTTCAGTCATCTGAGATATCAGGAGATCAGCTTTCATGTTGTCCCCCTTTCTCTTTTGATGACTAAGAAGGCTTCTTTTTTTTTTTTTTTTTTTTTGAGATGGAGTCTTACTCTTGTCACCCAGGCCGGAGTACAATGGCGCAATATCGGCACACACCACCCCCGTTTCTACTAAAAATACAAAAGTTACCTGGGCGTGGTGGCACGAGCCTGTAATCCCAGCTACTCTGGAGGCTGAAGCAGGAGAATTGCTTAAACCCAGGAGGCGGAGGTTGCAGTGAGCTGAGACGGCGCCATTGTACCCCAGATTGGGCAACAAGAGCAAAAATCTGCCTCAAAAAAAAAAAAAAGTCACTATTATTATTATTATGTTTTGCTGATTAGAAAACTAGTACACAATCAGGGCCAGGGTGCCTTGGAACATGCTGGAAGAAGGCCACTTCCTCTAGGCAGAGGCAGCCGGGCAGTAGCGCATAGGATTCCAGCCCAGGACACAACCTCCTCAACCACACGGACAGGCCTATAAAAAAAACTCCTCTCAAAAAAGTCAAACAATTTAAAGGTACATAAAAAAATGGGCCAGGCACAGTGGCTCATACCTGTAATCCTAGAACTTTGGGAGGCCAAGGTGGGAAAATCACTTGAGCCCAGGAGTTCAAGACCAGCCTGGGCAACATAGCTACAGAGACAACTCTGTCTCTACAAAAAATTAAAAATTGTAAAATTGGGCAGCCATAGTAGCATGGACCTGTAGTCCCAGCTACTCGGGAGGCTGGGGCAGGAGGATCACTTGTGCCAAGGAGTTCAAGGATTCAGTGAGCTATGATCACATCACTTCATTCCAACCTAGGCAACAGAGAGAGGTGGCTCAAAAAAATAGAGCCTGGCTCAAAAAACAAACTAAACCAAAGTATAAGCCTCTTATAATCACATTCCCAAAGAAAACCACTATTAAAAATTTGGTTAACTATTTTGTTTTGTTTTGACAGAAGAATAAAATTCAGTTACGGGGAAATTTAACCTGAATGGGAGAACACCGTCTATTTTTAAATTCTCTTCCTCTCTGACCCTACCCAGCCCAATATCACCAAAGGTTCTTAACAACCCAGGAGAAGTCAGCTGCAACCTGATTAGCATATCCTTGGATGGAATCCACTTCAAAGTTGAATCCTCAAGTATCTCAGTCTAACCTTGAAACTTTGATCTTTGTCCCTGGCAGGGCAAAGCCTAAGGAACTGGGTCCTTCACTCCTGGGGGTGGAGGGGGGTTCTCAGAAATGCAAATTGTTCACTGTTCTGCCACTGTCTCCTCTGTCACCTCTCCAGATCCCAGCCTTTGGATGAGTGGCTTTAACTGGGAGAGGGTTTGCAAGTCTGTGTCAGAAAGAGAAGAGCCTTTGGAGAACCCTGAAGAAACACAGAGGACAAAAGACCAGCTTGTTTGCAGTTAGTGTTCTGAAGGGAATCACAATTCTAGACCAGCGACCATAGCTGGAAGGATTCGCTGAGGTTTTATAGGCCCCCTTAGTTTCCCCATATGTGTTCTTGTCGTTTTTCTCTTATTTCACAGTAAAACCTATAACAAAAAGGGCTGTTTATCTTGGGGTACATCAAGGAAGAGGGAGATGAGGGTGAAAAATATATCCTTTTCTGCAGCTGGTGTTGGGGAACAAAGAATCTGGGGTAGAAGTGGGGGTAGAGATGGTAAATACATAGTAAAGCCGCAAAGAAGGCTGGGTGCAGTGGCTCACACCTGCAATCCCTGCACTTTGGGAGGCTGAGGCGAGTAAATGGCTTGAGCCCAGGAGTTCAACACCAGCCTGGGCAACATAAGGAGACTACCACCTCCACAAAAAAATTCAAAAACCAGCTAGGCATGGTGGTGCATGCCCGCAGTCCCAGCTACTTGGGAGGCTGAAGTGGGAGGATTGCTTGAGCCCAAGAGGTCGAGGCTGCAGTAAATCAAGATCGTGCCACTGCTCTCCAGCCTGGGGAACAGAGTGAGGAACCCTATCTCAAAAAAAACCCAATCACAAAAAAAAAAAATCCACAAAGATATGCAGGCTCCAGAAGGTGTCTTCTATCAAAGGAAAGTTCCTGGGCTAAAAAAATAATAATAATAACGACAACAATTACTACCATTTATTGAGCATTTACAATGTGCTGGGCACTTTGCCAAGGGCATTACATGCATTTTCTCATTTAATCCTTTCAACAGTCCTGGGAAGAACAGTTACCATTGTCATCTTCATTTCACCATTGAGCAAATGCAGTGTAGCTAACTAGCTTGCCCAAGATCGCACAGCTAGCAATAAGTGGCAGAATCAGGACCCATGCTCAAAACTGACCCCAGAGACTAAGTGCATCCCTTCAGGGCAAAATAATTCAATGCTTCAATGACTACCAACTGTCTAACTCCCACCCCCACACCTCAACACATACTCTCCAGGCTTGCTTTCCTCAGCTATCCCAGATGAGTTTGTGGATTTTCATGTTGTCATCTTTCAAGATTCAGGCATCGCTTCCCCTGAGTCATCTTCCTTCCTGATCTGTCCTCCTGCAGCCCCCTGCAGATGCCCCTGGGGGGCACTATATGTCATGTTTGGTCTCCCCCACAAGACAAGTGAGGTTCCCCAGGCTTTGCCCTCATCTCTCTCATCTTTGGATCCACTGTGCCCGGCATAGCGCCTGACACACAAGAAGTGCTCCCTGGCACCCCAAGGCTCCGTGAATAGATGTGGCATTCAGGCCAGACAGAGCTGAGCTGCCACACAGCTCGTTCCCTTTCTCACTCCAAATTGGCAGAAGAGAGTGAATGTTATTTACAAAAACACCAAGCCAAACAAGACCCTCCCTTCCCTGACACACTGAAGCTGCTCTGGGAACAGACAGGGGTCACCAAATGGTGGCCAGATGGTGACTGATGCTCCATAACTCCAGGGGCCTGGGGCAAAAGGCTTGGCTGCCCACCTGCTCCCAGGACCTGTGAACGATCCACTTTGTAGGGAAAAACCCAGACAGTTCCCTCCTTCCAAATCCCCTTCTGCAAACAGCTCTCGGAGTGGAGACTCTGCCAGCTCTCACCACATCCTGGGGACTCCTGAAGCCTGGGCTGGAAGTTCTGCAACCTTGCCCCATGTCAATGGCACTTACTTTACTTGACTTCTTCCTTAACAGAGAGGTGTTAATTCTGCAGTATTGACCCAGGGTAGTGGGGTGATCACCCCTGGTAGGCACAGCTGAGCCCTAAAATAACTGAACCCAGACAGAGCAGGGGAGCCCTGGGGCAGAAGGAATGTGGGGAGAGGGGAAGAGGAGCTCCCTTCTACCAGGGAAAACTCTGAGGACACAAGTAGCTGGAGGAACAGGGAAGGGATTTCCTACAGTGTTCCCAAACAAAGAGAGCTGGCGGGGCTTTGGGGAGAGCTCCGTTTCCCTTCATTTCATTCAGCAGTGGTCTCCTCCTCCCACAGATGTGGGAGGCAACAGGCCCCCAACTGGTTATCAGGCCCTCCAGCATGAGGGCCTTTGTCTCCCCTTAGACATCTAGCTGGCAGGGCGAAGGGCCGACAAATCCTCCCTGACCCTCCCAGCTCTTTGTTATCTCAGAGGGAAGATTACATTTCTGTATGGGGAGGCAAGGTGCCAGGAGGCCTCGGGCAGGACAGAGACAGGCAGAGCTGCCGTCTGACCCCCATTGCCTGGATCAGCTCAGGGCTGCCCTAGGGACACTCTCCCTCCACTGGCCTGGGGCCCTTCCAGAAATGGGAGGGCTGCGTTTCAGAAAGGGGGAGGGGTACAGGAGTGGGACAGAAGGGGAGGTGGGCTGGAAGGATAAAAGCAGCCAACTCTCAATTATTCAGAAGCATGTCTGCAGTGCGTGGACAGCCCATGCCTTCGCTGAGTTTCTCACCTTCTCTGTTCAGTTGCCATCAGCTCTTTCCCTGAGAAGTGGAGAAGGGAACCCTGGCAAGTTGGCCACTTGCTTTCATTTTGGCTTCTCGATGAATCTATAGAGGATTTTTCAGCAGCAGACCCATGTGCCTCAACACCAAACAAGCATTTAGATCATTCTCTTTCTGTTTAAATCAAGAACACATTATTTAGCCTTTTCTTTGAGGTTCAAGATACTCCTACAATGGTTCTAAATCATAAGAAAAAGGGACTTGATTTAAAACCCCTTGTTCTGGGCCAGGCTCATGCCTGTAATCCAAGCACTTTGGGAGGCCAAGGTGGGCAAATTACCTGAGGTCAGGAGTTTGAGACCAGCCTGGCCAACATGGTGAAACCCTGTCTCTACTAAAAATACAAAAATCAGCTGGGCGTGGTGGCAGGCGTCTGTAGTCCCAGCTACTCGGGAGGCTGAGGCAGGAGAGTCGCTTGAGCCCAGGAGGCGGAGGTGAGCTGAGTGAGCTGAGATCATGCCATTGTACTCCAGCCTGGGTGAAAAGAGCAAGACTCCATCTCAGAAACAAAAACAAAAACCTTGTTTGAGAAGAATTACGGAGAGGAAGGGCGATACACACTCCTTTAGGAACGAAATAGAAAAATAGTAGCTAGGTGTTAACATTAAATGCTGGATTTTTTTTATGGCTTGTTTTCCCAATCATATTTCCTCAAATTGTATTTCCTCCTCTGGTAAGCCAGGTGGGTTATGCTTAGCAAGTCCATCAACCACAAATATACATGGAAAACCTCCTGAGTGGAATTGGTCAGACGCCTTAGATGAGATCCTTGTCCTAAAGCAATTTAGAAGCCAGTTAGAAAGCAGAGTAAGGAAAACTACTAACTAACAAAGCTATGGTTAGTATCAACTCAGTGGATAGTCAGAAAGTGAGCAGGTGATCCAGCGACTCACAAAGCTGGGATGGGCAGGGAAGGCCTCTTGGGGGTAGGGTGTGAGTTTGGCCTTACAAGCCTGTGATGAGTATTAATTAAAATGCAGGAGGTCTAATGGGTGGGCAGCTTATTTAGGAGTATAAACCAAACCTGACCAGGAGCTGAAGGGTTAAATTGTAGGGGAAAACTCTATAAACAGTGGCTGAAGTTCATTTATTCAACAAAGATATGAGTTCTTGTTTCTCATTTTTTGTTTTATATTATTTTGTTTTGAAACAGGGTCTTACTCTGTCACCCAGGCTGGAGTGTAGTGGCTGATTATAGCTCACTGCAGCCTCAAAATCCTAGGCTCAAGCCATCCTCCTTCTTCAGTCTCCACCTCCAGCTAATTTTTAAAAATATTTTGTAGAGACAAGGGCTCACTTTGTTTCCCAGTCTGGTCTTGAACTTCTGGCTTCAAGTGATCCTCCTGCTTTGGCCACCCCAGGTGCTGGGATTACAGGCGTGAGCTGTAATTTAGTTGTTTATTTATTCATTTGTTCAACAAATACTTATTGAATATTTGCTCTTTGGCCAGTCAAGGAATTTTATGAGTGTCTACTATGTGAATAACACTGTGTTGGCCACTAGTCTGTCACCTACTGGTGGATTAGAAAAATAACGCGAGGACCCTTTTCTTTTTTCTTTTTTTTGAGACGGAGTCTTGCTCTGTTGCTAGGCTGGGGTACAGCGGCAGGATCTCGGCTCACTGCAACCTCCGCCTCCCGGGTTCAAGCGATTTCCCTGCCTCAGCCTCCCCAGTAGCTGGGATTACAGGCGAGTGCCACCATGCCTGGCTAATTTTTTTGTATTTTAGTAGAGGCGGGGTTTCACCTTGTTGGCAAGGATAGTCTCAATCTCCTGACCTCGTGATCCACCTGCCTCGGCCTCCCAAAGTGCTGGGATTACAGGTGTGAGCCACCGCCCCCCCCCCCCAACTCTTTTCTTAAATTAGCCAGGGAGGCGTGGGTGGGGTGGGTGAGGAGTTGGGTGGGGGTAACTCATTCAGTATTCAAACTTCTACAAGTTTTGGGGATGAGGTGGGTGATGGTGAGGGAACAGGCCCTGCCACTAACTTACATAGTGACTTCTATTTGTGTAGTATTTTTGGTCCACTGAGAGCTATCATTTTATTTGATTCTTATGATCATCTTGTGAAGGAGTATCAACAGATACCGCTGTTTTGATTTTATCAGATACATGATTTGTCCTACATCAAACTTCACAAATGATGGACAGAATGGAGGAATCCTTCAGACCTAGTGCTGCCTACTTCCCACCCCAACGGTGGCCTCAGCCTGGGCTCTCACATCACAGGCCCCACGGAGACTTGGAAAAAATACAGGCTCTTGGCTCCTTCTTGGGACAGCCTGATTCCTCATGTCTGAGCAGGCCCATGAATTTGTATTTTTCAGACGTTCCCTGGAGGACCCCTGTCCATCTGGATTAGGAAACCACTACATTATACCACCCCGCGGCAAGACTCAGGGGGAAGCATTTAGCCACTTTCCTGGGTTCCACAGTACTGGAGGGTGTTCTGAGTGGGCTGTGATTAATTTCCAAACCAACCACACCTCTCCCCTCAACTCCCACTTACTCTTTGCTTCCTAGACGTTCACTTCAGGCTGGAGACTTCTGAAGACCAACAACATTGCTGTAGAATTTACAGGGTCCAGTTCCCGGTGGAGCACAAAACCTAAATTATGTGGCTGGGGAAAGCGGAGATCCAATGGAAGGGTTTGAGGAGGGGCTGACCTTCTCATAATAAAACCAGCTTGTATTTACTAAGTGTTAACTATGCGCCAGGCCCTCGTTGACCTCTCGACTCTATACGAAAAAGCACTATTATCCCCCTTTCACAGATGGGAAAACCGAGATTTAGAACGCGAAAATCATTCCCCAAGGTGCACAGACTCCAAAGTCCACGCTACCAAGTACAATCTCAAAGCTGCGGCGTCTCTTCACCTGTCCCCCACACCCGCCCCAAACTGCTGCTATGTCTAGGGCCTGACATTCCGGCGCCCTCTGGGACGCGCTCAGATGCAGGGGCGCAAGCGCCAAAGGAGAACAGGCTGCAGGAAGAGAAGGGCAGAGCGCCGGACAGCTCGGCCCGCTCGGCCGGCTCCCCCTCCTCTGGGGCCGCGGCTGGGGAACTACAAGGCCCAGCAGGCAGCGGCAGGGGGCGGAGGCGGAGGAGGGACCAGCGCCGGTGGGAGTGAGAGGGCGAGCCCTCGCGCCTCGCCGGCGCACAGCGCTCGGAGCGCTCCTTTGGCCACAGGCGCGGCGTCCTCGGCGGCGGGCGGCAGTGAGCGGGAGCTGGGACGCCGGTGCAGCCGCAGCGCGCGGAGGAACCCGGGCTGTGCCGGCAGCAGGGCCACGTCCGGACGGGACCGAGAATCCGCGTAGCGCATTGCGGCGACCTCGCCTTCCCCGGCCGCGAGCGCGCAGCTGCTCGAAAAGCCGCGGAACCCGAGGACTTTTCTCCGGTCCGAGCTCGGGGCGCCCCACAGAGCGCACGGTACCCGTGCTGCAGTCGGGCACGCCGCGGCGCCGGGGCCTCCGCGGAGCGATGGAGCCCGGTTTGCAAGGAGCGTGAGACGCCGCCGCCGCGGTCTGGAAAAGAGGGGCACAAGGTCTGGAGACCCCGGGCGGCGGACGGGAGCCCTCCCCCCGCCCCGCCTCCGGGGCACCAGCTCCGGCTCCATTGTTCCCGCCCGGGCTGGAGGCGCCGAGCACCGAGCGCCGCCGGGAGTCGAGCGCCGGCCGCGGAGCTCTCGCGACCCCGCCAGGACCCGAAAAGAGCCCGGGGGCGGCGGGCCGGAGCCGGGGACGCGGGCACACGCCCGCTCGCGCAAGCCACGGCGGACTCTCCAGAGGCGAAACCTCCACGCCGAGCGAGGTAAGAGTCGCGGCGCCCCCGGATCCGGAGCTGGCTTGGCGTCCCGAGCGGCCCCCGGCGCCGGAGCCTCCCGGCTGCGCGCTTTGCCCACCGCAGCCCAGCCGGGACCGGCGCCTCCCTCCGCTCGCCGCCCGCCTCCTCCACCTCCCGGCTCCCTCCCGGGCGATCCGCGCCCCCCTTGGGTCTCTCCTCCCTTCCCTCCGCCCGCGTCTGCTTCTGCGCCCCCTCCCTACGCTCGTCCCGCCGCTCTTCCCGCTGCCCAACTTTTCCGCCAACTCGCGCTCCGGAGCTGGCGAGGCGGCGGCGGCTCCTCGGTGAGTCCTGGGAAGGACAGGCCCGGGGCGAAGGCGGCGAGGCCCGCGGTTTCCTGGACTGGGGAGGAGGGCGGGAGTGGGCGGCGAGGTGGGGTGCGTTGTGTGTGTGTTGTGTGTGTGTGGCATTCCACTCCATCTCTTTTTGGTCGCCTTTTGGGGATTCACCCCCAATTCAGCAGGTAGCTTTGGGCTCAACGCTAAAAATCCAGGACATTCCTCAGTCCTTTTCCACCCCCGCTAAACCTGGGGTCCGGGTTGTGGGCGAATGGAGTAGGGGATGAACTGCAGAGGACGTGGAGGGCTAGGTTAGCTTCTCTTGGAATAGGCTTTAAGGAGGTGTCGTCACCAAATGGCTGAATCTGCTTGAGCTGAGAGCGAAAAACGACTCCGCTTTCCAGAAGGGGTGATCTTATGACTTGGACGGTCTCTGAAAGGGTCGGAAGTTTGGGGAACGGGAGGACGACCCACAGTCGTTAAGCCGAGGTATGGGACGGGGGCGGCAGGGCCGTTCCGTCCCAATCTGGTTCCTGGAGGTGGGGGAAGGGATGAGGTTTTTGTCCGGTGCGGTTCACTCGGCAACGATGCGTAGGCTTCTCTGGCCCAGACCCTTCTGCACCCCGCTTCCCCTCCCGTTATGTTTAGGGTTGGGAGAAAAGGGAGGCTACGACCCATGTTTGCAGAGGAATTTGTGGACCTTGTAGATGGGGTTCATATAGAACACACACCCCCTATGAAGCAGCCAGACACTTTTTTGGTGGTGGTGGGGCGGGGGGCGGGGGTGTGAAGCGTGTTTCTTGTTCTGGTCCCAGAAGCTATCAACCCGTTTGAAAAACATTACCACGATGTCTTTCTCCCCCAGCCCTCCCCCACCCCCATTTTCCAGATGTAACAGCCGCATCTGGTTCCGTTTCACCCCACACGGGTACACCGCAGCCGCATTATTAACTTCCCTCTTCCTCCCCTCCCCCTACCCCAAATTGAAACTCGGATTCTTCAACTCGTCTTGACCACCTCCCTCCTTAACATTTCTGGAGACTTGGAGATGCGGCGTTGAGAAAAGAAAGTTCCCTTGGATCCCGAGTTATCTAAGATCTCACTAAGTTAGTTATTCGCCGCCGCTGGTGGGTGGCGGCGGTCGGGGTGCTTTCTGGATTGCGCAGAAAAGAGGCATCTTGGGAGATGGGTCCAAGGTTTTAGGGGGTGGCATTCGCGAACAGTTCATCCGCTAGACTGGGGGGGCTCTTTGGCTGTGCGTCTGGCCAGAACTGGCCTTGACGATGGAAGTTTCTGGAACCAAAGCGTTGCTTTCTCTCCCTTGTGTTATAGCTGGAGCTGCGAGAGCGCCTGCCCTGCCCGGAGCCCGCGGTCCCCTCTCGGCCGCCCCTCGGTGGCGTCACGCGCCCCTCCCGGAGCGAGCCCGGTGCGCAGGGCCGGGGGCGTGGGCGACTGCTGCCAGAGGCGCTCCCTGTGTGTTTTTAAGGACTGATTTGGGCCGCATCCCCCGGAAACTAAAGTGGGGCGTTTTACCATTTAAGTAACGGCTACAGGTTTGAAAGCGGGGGGTTGGATTGTCCAGTTGTGTTTGGTAATAGTCTTTGAGGCAGGAAAGCGCCTTGTGGTCCAGAGTTGCGGGAGGGTGGAGAGAGTCAGTCTCTCTCACCCTCTTCTTTCCAGCCTCTTTCAAATTGAAAACACTTCTCTGGTTTCCTTCTTTGGGCGGTAGTTTTGGAGGCTGTAATGAAATCGCACTTTCTCTAGACGTGGTAATTAAGGTGACTGTTTCCTCCGCAGATGTGCCCTACCCTTTGCACCTCCGGACCAGGGCTTTTTTTGGAATACTATCTAGCCTTGAGACTGTTTAGCAGAAAGTGGCCATTTTCCTCCCTTGGCCCGGGCTCCCGGTTTCCTCCCTGAGGCTTGTTTAAAAGCGAAGTAGCAGGGCCCCGTGGGACGCGCCTTGGTCTGGTTAATCACCCCCACGCCCGGGTCATCCACCTTCCTCTCAGTGACCGAGGTTCAGCAGCCTCTGCTATTGCCGTCCCGTCTGTGCCGAGGGCCTGCCTCCCTAATGACTTGTTTACATATCCTACCCCCAGTGGGTTAGGAGAAGCTCCAGGGCTGCCCCTGACCCTCCGAGTGCAGGGTGTTTGGGGACCGGGAGGCTGCTGGGGCCTGACTCCAGCTGGGAGGGTTATGAACTACATCAGTGACGAGCTCCTTGAAATATCTGTTGCATTTACTCTTAGTCATAGCTGAGTGTCAGCTTTTTAATGAGGTTCATCCAGATTGAGAGGCACTTGGACTTCACTGCCTGCTTTTCCAAACATGCCTGCAGAAATGCTCATTTTCCAGGTATTTTTCCCAGTGCGGATTCGGGCCAGAGTGGGCACCACTTGAACAATCTTAGGGTGCTTCTTTTCCTTGACCTCTGGCCATGGAGGATGTTAGAAAGTTCCATTAGGTGGCCCTTTGGTAGCCAGGGAAGCAAAGGCTCAGGAGGAAATGGCGAAGTGTCCCCCACTCCCTAGGGACAGAGGATTAGATACGTTGGGTGCATCCCTCAGGCTGGGCTAGCTTTATTCCTGGTGGACTCCAGAGGGCAAGAAAATTGAATTGAACACTGGGTAGGCAGACTCAAGCCTTAGACACCAAGGAAAATCCATGGGTTTTGCTTTTAGTGGTGTGCTCTTTGTTTTCAGTATTGACCTGAAACAAGACTCCTAAAATGGGAGATTTGCTGGTGTGAACTTGGGGGCTTAGCAACGGGCTTCTCCAAAGGTTTTTTTCTTGCCTCGGTTTCTAAAGTGTCTTTTGTCAAAATGGCTGTTAGTTACAGAACATCCTAGCAAAGTTTGAGCCTGTTGCTGCTGGAAGAAAAGGCGTTAGAATTGATTCAAATGTCTTATTCTGAAAGGGCCTCACATCACTTGATGAATTTAATTTCCTCCTGGGAAATTTGTGTCTTGCATTTGTCTTCCCCAGAGCTTTGTAAAAGGCCTGAAAGCACCAGGGACTGGTGGGAGTCCAAATGCAGAGCTTTAGAGAAGATTGTGGTGTTTCCAGAGAGAATGAAATGTCAGACTTGGGCCAGGATATTTGTTTTTCCCCCTAAGGTTGCATCTACTTTAAACAGAAATTCCTTCCTCACCACCATTTCTCTCTCCCTTACAATGAAAGAAACCATGTTTAGGGCCCTCTCTCCCATTTAATAGCACTCACCTGAGTGAACTATCCCAAGAATTTGGTGGGGTTCCACTCATAGTACATCCTGTCTTCAAGAGCAAGGTTTTCTAGATTATGTGCAGCAGTTGTGTTGGCCAGGCTGGTCTTTAACTCCTGACCTCAAGCGATCCGCTGGCTTCGGCCTCCCAAAATGCTGGGATTACAGGTGTGAGCCACCGTGCCTGGCCACTTATTGCTAATTTTTTATATGTCTTTTACTTCCAAGGACATGTAGACCTTTTTTTTTTTTTTTTTTTTTTTTTAACAGAGACGCAAAAAAAAGCATTTCTCTTGGACCAACTAAAATTTTGCAAGCTGAGCTGAGTAACTTTCTCCATATGTTTATTAAGTACTTGCCCCCTGCCCTCTCCAACATGTGAGTAGAGAATGTTCACTTTGGGGAAGAAATATTGAAGGGAATAATGTATTGGTATTACTTCCTTAATTCTGAAGAACCAAGTTGTCCAGAAATTTTCTCGGTACCCTTTGGACTAGAGTTTGGCTGGTTAACAAGGGATATTAGCTAATTGCTTTTCTCTGATATTCTCAGCCTCTTTTTCTGGAGGAGTATCTGTATCAGTTTCTTTTCATCAGCTCTTTTTTTTCCTTCATTCACTTACTCATCCAGTTAACAAACATGTTGGCATCTCCTGTGTACAAACTAGGTACAGAGGGTATTAGCAAACGTTAGGGAGCCACAGACCCTGCTCTGAAGGAGCCTGCAGGTTCATGGGGAGAGAAGAGAATGAAGAACATAAATAACAATCATATCATATGACCTAAGCACCATGTGAGAGGGGCTAGTAATGTGGTTTGCGAATTTGGAGGAATAAAATCCTCCAGCTAGAAGGCCCAAGAAAGTCTTATGGAAGAGACAGCTTCTTAAGGTGGGGTTCAGAGAAAAGGGAAGGCCTGGCCTGTTGCAGAACAAGGAAGGGCAAAAAAGAAAGTCTCGCACAGAGGCATGGAGGTTGCTTCGAGCTGTGGTGCCCTATAGAAATAGAACATGAGGCCGTAAGCTGTGGTGCCCTATAGAAATAGAACATGAGGCCGTGCGCAGTGGCTCACGCCTGTAATCCCAGCACTTTGGGAGGCCGAGGTGGGCGGATCACGAGGTCAGGAGATCGAGATCATCCTGGCTAACATGGTGAAACCCCGTCTCTACTAAAAATGCAAAAAATTAGCCGGGCATGGTGGCGGGCGCCTGTAGTCCCAGCTATTTGGGATGCTGAGGCAGGAGAATGGCGTGAACCTGGGAAGTGGAGCTTGCAGTGGAGCCGACATCGCGCCACCGCGCTCCAGTCTGGGCGACTGAGCGAGACTCCATCTCAAAAAAAAAGAAATAGAATATGAGCAGCTGGGCGAAGTGGCTCATGCCTGTAATCCCAGTACTTTGGGAGGCCAAGGCAGGCGGATTGCTTGAGCCCATGAGATGGAGATGAGCCTGGGCAACATGGTGAGACCCTGTCTCTACCAAAAAATACACCAATTAGATGAGTGTGCTCATGTTTTCTGGTAGTCCCAGCTGTTCAGGAGGCTGAGGTGGGAGGATCACTTGAGCCTAGGAGGCAGAGGCTGCAATAAGCTGTAATTGCACCACTGCACTCCCGCCTGGGGGACAGAGGAAGACCCTGTTTAAAAAAAAAAAAAACAAAGCCAGGCACAGTGGCTCATGCCTGTAATCCCAGCCCTTTGGGAGGCCAAGGCGGGTGGATCACCTGAGGTCAGGAGTTCAAGACCAACGTGGCCAACATGGTGAAACCCTGTCTCTACTAAAAATACAAAAATTAGCCGGGCTTGGTGGCTTGTGTCTATAATCCCAGCTACTTGGGAGGCAGAAGAATTGTTTGAACCCGGGCGGCAGAGGTTCAGCCGAGATTGCGCCATGCAACTCCAGCCTGAGTGACACAGCAA